TTATCTATCGACCGTCAATGGTGTATCTCATTTGTCCCTGTTTGTTCACGAAATCGAGTGGGACGACAACGTTGGTGGAACCGCAGAGGGTTGGTTTCTCGGTTCGGATCTTTTAGTGTTTAAGTTTCTGGGAGCTGTTGCAACTGGGCTGGCGCGTTTGGGCGCTTGGTCGGGTAAGCCACAGATCAGGAGCTCCAAACTGCTTTCAGGTCCTGAAGACGACGATTTGTCGAAACGTCGACCAATAAAGCGGCTTCTGCCTTAACAAACCTGTACGGCAAAACAGTGGAAAAACATTATACAATATGCCCAGGTTTCAAGAAGACCGAACATGGAAGATCTCTACACCGTCTTGAAATCAAGTAGGGAGTTCTCACTCTTCCGGAAAGCCAATTATGAATGATATCTACCTCTTCACATTCATTCACTATTCTGCTACCCATCTCCATCCATTCTCCTTAATTCTGTGCTGTTCTGAAAACAAAGTTTCGCTACCAGCTTTGAAAGTTCGGAACAATATTCCAAACCCGCTTAGTTCCCTTTCTTCTGTTATCTCGATTTAACCTTTACTTTGCCATAAGTGGCCTAGCCTGTTGAGGTTATCTCTGATGTGATACTGTAATCCATGAGCACACTAGCATGCAGAAGGGCAGGCAATAGATTTGGCGCTTATACACCGTCATTTGTATAATAGATTGTAATGTTGTGCACTTCGATCTTAGATAGATACATTTTTCTGAGTACGCAGTGCTGCGAAAAATTTCTCTGTTCACTGTGAAGGCTTGCCATTTCAGGGCTATTCTTTCCATATCTTATGAGTCGCTTTCAAATGAGGCTAATTTTTGCCGGCGTATTATGGCTTTGTCCCTCCTGAAGTGCATCTATGTTGAGGAGACATTGCGACCGCATGGAAAAAGTAAATGATCTATTTTACGAAAAATTTTATCGTAGACACAGTGTTTCTTTCCTCTCCATTCGCAATGCGATCTGAAAGAAACTTATAAATAGATCTTTATTTTCGTTGATTGCGATTAACTCTTCCTTTCAGCATTATTCCTCGAACAACTCAATCTGTATGACACTATTACACCTCATCAGTTCGCTGCGTTGGTTTCCTGTTTGGATGATTCTTTCCAGTTATGTCAAACTACAGCTCTGGAAATACTCAAAAATCTTCCGGTGGTGAAAGGTTTTGTGAGTAAGATTATTTTTTGCCAATATCGAATTCTTAAAATGATGAAAGGGGTATTTCTCTACAATTCCTTTCTTGAATCTTTTTTTTTTCAGACCAGAGAGGGATGTTTTCTTTCGGGCGTTAGTAAGACTTTACTTTTTTTGCAGGATTTTATGACTTTCAAGAGTGAAACTATCGAAATGATGAAATCAATTCGCTCGCACAATACGTTAGCAACTGGCTACAGGATGCAGGTTTATTGATGGGTTATGAAAACCGCTTCATTAAAAAAACTCGAGATTTTTCAGTTCTACATTAACTGTCACCCGACATCAATGGAAGAACTGCTGGAATTTTTCGTGAATGTTTGTGAGGAAAACACCAATGCAGCAAAAAATAACCTGGTACTATTAACGTGAATGGAACGTGGTGACTTCAATAGCAAGTTCTTTTTCAGTTAAATATTACTTGCTACTCCATCCATCCTTGGATGAACGCGATAGCTCTCCTTTTGGAAGAAACCTCTTTCTCCAATTTGAGGTAAGCCTCCCTAACTTGATGTAAGCCTCGTCCAATTTTCTGGGATCAGCATGTTTTTATAACTTAGATTGGAAATCTAGGTATAGCGGTAGGGTTTCGAATGTTGTTTATGATCAGGTATGATAAACAGCATTCGAAACCCTACTGTATCATGTCGAAATATAAAATGAGTTCCTCAACCTAAGGTGATTTGCTCTTTGTTTCCCGTCGTCACCGAAAATTCAGCATAGCGGCTCGTTTTCCCAGTAGAGGCTCCACCACATTTTCTCATCTTTATTTAAGTGAGCGTCCTATTCTAGCAGTCATATACGCAAGTCGCGCTTACTCAAGACAATGTTTACCCACTCCCTACAGAGAAGCAAATATCAATGAGGAAAACCCAGCACCAGTAGGAAACTTGAACAGTTCATCTTTAAGTCCTATGATGAAGTGCACGTTAGTTTTCAGGTCGAGTTTCATCTTTGTTAAGTTTTTACCTGGTATCTATTCCGAGACAGCTTCTGCTGCTTGTGTTTCAATGTGAAAATAAAAGAAATCAATGCACGCCACGCCCACCATGGGCGGGGCTTTGCCAAGCTGATGTGTGCTTTACATTTCTCGGGACATGGCCCACCTATCCCACGCTTGACCCGTTCTCCCCAGGCAGATCGAAAGAAGCTAAGGAAATTCGTGACAGACATACATAACGACAGCCGAAGCGCTTGATAGTAAGTAGGATCGTAAACAGCATTCCAAACTGTAATGACACACCAACTCTGCCATGTCCGTTCAAAGTTACGTGGGAGCAGGCATGGCTTCCTTGGTTAGTAGCGTCTGGCGAATGGTTCGGTAGATCGCACGGTCGCCAATAAAGTGCCAAACGTAAGGAACTTCGTACAAGTGTACCTTTGAAACGCGAAAACTTTTGCAGAAAGTCGGCCCTCTAATCCAGAAGAATCGTTTTTTATTAATATCACTATTTCGCTTATTTTGAAGCTTTCCATTTCTTTCTAGTGCCAAAGATCAAGAATGGTGGATACCGTTTCTGCGGCAACGTCTGGTTCCACTCTGCTTCGAAGTAGCAGCGGTGGTGAGTAGATTGTTTTGCATGTTCAAATACACTTTGCTGCACTTAGGTTGCTGAAGTGGAAGGAAAGGTTTGTGTCGCCGTATAACCTGTATTGTCAAGCTCACCGCCTTTCTAATGATTCTTGCGTGAATATAGCGTTTCATTGTAGGAGGCTTACCAGTTTTTTTTTTCTCTACAAACAAAGACAAGTTCTCTTGTATGCATGTTTTAAGAACGTGTTGAGTATATAATACTACTACACGTTCTATGCCTGACGAAATCTTCTGATAAGTAGGAAAGGTCAACCGTAAGACGAAACAGTAGCGGAAGATCCAAATTGATTTGGCAAAAGAAAACTCAGTTTGGCATCGAAAGCTACATTGGATTGCTGGAAGGATATTTTACAGGAATTACCTTGGTTGCTCAACCATAGTAAATAGTTCACATATTTCTGAGGATTGGAATCTGTATTGCTTTGAAGGCGCTCTTGAAGAACAGACGCGAAAATTTTCTCTGCCAGAAACGTAGAGGAAATAACTAACATACTCAGCATTCAGTTTTAACATACTTTTGCCGAATGAGGTTGCTCAAAGAGTTCTGGCGTAAGACGTTGTTGCCGATAATGTATGCATTGAACGGTGAGTATCCGTTCGGTGAATGAGAGAATAGTTTCTTTTAGGTGACACCAGCAGTCCATTCAATGTCACCGGAGGGCTTTGTTCCGGACGATGCGTTGAGGAATTTGGGTACATATTCATCATCTTTTCTTTTCTCAAGTTCAATTCCGCTCAAAGTAGTAGGATTATTGAGTTGTGTTTGTGAATTAATTTAAATTGTTTTCCGTTCACGCCTCAGTTCCATTGAAAAGAGCAGCTTTGAATGGTAACTCTTATGAAAACTTCAGAATAATTCAAATGCTAGAGACTTGCAAGAGTCCCTTTCTCGCTCACAATAAGATGTTGGCTCAGAATGGACATTCTTAAGCGATTTCTTCGGCGAACGGGAATTCTATTCACATGGCAGCAGAAGTGTCCCAATTACTACTGGTTTGCTGTTGGCGAGCTCATAAGCATGTATCGGCGATCCTTTCATGGGCAGTAGTGAAGGTAGTCAAAGAAACTCGCTTATCTTCAGAACTGTGACTTTCTGTACATCTTTTTATTTAGCTTTGTCCACTTTCAATTCTCTCCCCTGAGCATGTTCATCGCATTGGGGCTTTTTACTGGCTGCAGCTTACCGAGTGCAAACATTGTGGAGCATTTGAAACGGCAGTGGAAGGGTCAACTGTTTTTAAAAATCTTCACCACGCTTTCTTCACAGACAGGTCATGGTATATTTTTTAGCTTCTCTTCATTGTGCACTTATCTTTGGAAAAGCGATGATCCTTCTCTGCCAAAACCCGTGGAATGGTTGCGCGAAATTCTCAATGCTTTGGATGGAAAGAAAGGTAATTTCTTTTCTAATGCTCTTCGTTGAAATATTTGTTATGTTAGAGCCCAACAGTACAAGGAATATATCGTAAAGGAACGTACTTTTCATCAGATTCGCAAAACCTGTGCTCAACCCGACGTAGTGCCGGTGTCCCTCATCTTGTTACCACTATTCTGGCGACCGAACCACCTAATCATGCCAGCCAGTCGCTCAAAATTGCTCTCAAGTCTCTTCTGGAAATGAGTCATAAATCTGTCACCTATCGGTTAGAACACTGGTAACTTTACTAAATCACCAGTCCCATATTTCCCGTATTTAGGGTACACTCGCTCAATGTGCTTAGGGCGATATTTTCGTCGGCAGCTCTTGGAGATCGAATTACGGCTGCCTTAGAGGTTGGTAATTTACCAGCCTTTCATGACTTTTGCTGTTTTCATTTCCTTTCTATTAGCTATTTTTCGATTGAAAGGCGGTTGATTGCTCAATATCTGCAAAATACAAACTTGCTAAATCTGTCTTAAGTTCCGGTACAACAGCGTCTTGTTTGTTTTCAACTTGTCCCTGAATATTGGTTTCTGGTCGAGAATTGACTTTATCTCTGTTTATGGACCTTCGTGTTAAGGCTTCCATTTGGTGTGGATTTTTTCAGTGGGCTTGTCGTGTAGCTGTTGATGGTTGCTCAGCTGCCACGTGGCCGGAACGCAATGCAGCCGCTCAGCTAGCGGCAGCTCTTAGAACGCGAATATTCGGAGTTGCTCATAAGAGTCAACGAGACCTCCAAGTGGACTCGAAAAATCGTCAGAGTTCGTATGAATTCTTCACAAGGTAAAAAAGATTGGATTGAAAGCATAAAGGTTTTGTTTGTTGTCATGGCCTGAGGTTTCTAGGTTTCCCTCGTTGTACAGTTATTTATTCGATCAACTACGTACTCCCAAAGACGAGTTCAGTGTCTATCCTATTCTTATTTTTCTCACACACCTTTTTCCGTCAAATGCTGGCGTTACGGCTACGGTCGGAACAAATGCGAAGAAAACAGCAGTGGATTTTCCTCTACAGCCTTTTATATTCGCGCTGCTTCGTGTACTTTTATGGTGAGTTGATTTTTTCGCAGTGGAAGCTCTGATCATAAATATGTTTAGAACTGTCGAAATTACGTAAGATCACTTCTCAGGTGTCGAGCCGAAAAGCTGCGGAGACTTGCTGTTGCTGCGTTGATCGCTATAGCCACACCAAAGGTAAACCGGTAATTCCTTTGCAACGGGTTTGGGAGTTGCCTAGGCAAGGGGAGCAGAAAGAAACTAGGTTTGAGAATGAGGTTCTTTCAATCTATGAAAGAAAAAGTCCCAATGTTCAGTGTCTTGAAGCCTCATTCCGCAATGAGTTAAGAGCTTTCAAACAGTGCAGTGATAAAGTTTTGTGCGACAGTCAACCTTTGGTGTTATCACCTGTATCCCCTCTGGTCCCGTTGATCATCGATTCCCTGGCCAAAGCAGTCTAGTCGATTGCCCTTGCTCGAGGGACTCGAGGCATAACACTTCTATCGTTTAGAGCATTACGTGAGGACAGTAATATTAAAAGTACAATAAAATGTAAGGCAAGTAACGCTAGTTTTGGTATTTTTGCAGCAAATAAGTTCCAAAGAGATTGCGGTGAAAGACCAAGTTATTACCACTCCAAATGATTTGTGCGCCGCCGGCTCGGATGAGCTGATTTAGTCGTTGTTCGTCTCTATTCCTTCTTGTCCACAAAACGCCGTATCTTCTAGCCTTCAATTCGTTCCTTTCTGAAAACCGTCTGCCAAAACTAGGCGCCTCTTTTTTCAAGCAGATGAAGTTGGTCAGTCTGTGGATCAAAGGTCACGTATGGCTTGCTTTCAGGATATATTGCTACTTCTTGATTGGGTTGAGAGGACCGATTTCTCAGAAATACGTCAGAACCACATAAACGCTGTTTTGTTATTGGTAATAATTTTCGCCTTGACATTATATTAATATTTTCCTTGTGATTGTCTTTTATTTTAGATGACGTCAATATTAGAGTCCTGTAAGCGTTATGAGGTGATGGATAGTGTTCGTACAATCATGACTAAACTAACAGGATCGGCAATTTGGTTGAAGTGGTCAGTACTTTTCTGTTATTCTATAATTGATGAGAGAATCATGTCCTGTAAATATGGTATTAGTCCTTTCTCTAAAATAAGATAAGAGTCAACCTAGTAAGCCTCAAATACGTTTGTTAATGATAATTATTGGGGGACTGCGGTTTATTAGGGCGTACCCGCCGATTTGGAAGACCCTGAGAAGTCTAAGCATCTTTAGATTATGTTTGAAGTGAACAGAAGTATGAGGTGCCGTTTCAATTAGGTGTCGTGTCGTATCAAACATGATTGTCGTCGCCGTTTTCTTCCTTTTCTTCTTCTTCTTGTGTAGCTTTGTCCCCCTTAGTAGCGGGGCCCACTTTTGTGGTGTGTTAACGCCACTTTTGCCGATTGAGCACTTGATCGGGTAGGCCAACTACTTTCAAGTTCTCATGCAAGATGTCAAAAAGCGTTCCTATGGCCTTCCTCCCGGCTGTGTTCCGGTCACGTCGAGGTTGAGGCCAATCTTGCAGACACTGTTATTGACCACGCGTAGGACATGAACGGACCACCGAAGATAGGTTTCGCGCATTCTTCAGCAATAGGGGCTACTCCGAAACGCTCCCTCATTGCGTCGTTGCGAAGACGTTCCACACACGTGGCTCCAGCTGTCCATCGCAGTATTCTCTTTTCCATTAACACAGAGCATAGGTCCGCGGCTCCACTGGTTGCCACTGGATACTGCTCGCACGGCGTTGTAGTTGTAAGTTGTAAACTCGCAATTTCTGCGAATTTCTCCCCTCTCTATCTCTTCGCCTTAGACGCACTATCCTCCACCACACTTCCGCTTTTCAACTTGGAAAGGGATCTCAAAATTATCGTGAATTGTGCCTTGAAATCAAAGCCGTACTTCATAGTCTGTAATCATTACCTAATTCGTTTGGAACAAGCCCCTTTAGGCAGTCATTATCACAAGCCTCCATGGAAAGATTGAGTATCTTTCAACTTTGCAACGGGAAACGACACATAACAAGAGCGGAACAGTAAATGTTTTAAGACTTAGATTTGTGTAGAAATCCTGGAATATGGATTTGGACGCTCCACTGTGATCACCGTCATATATCTGTGGTCGAATAACAAAACTTTTTTTGCCGCGCCTTCGACGACTTCGTCTCACCGTGCAAGAGCTTTCATATGTATGTACCAAGGTGTCGCAGTGGCGGTAATCCCATTAACGTATTCTATCTCATGCGTAAAGCTTGTTGTTACACTCATTATGATCTGACAAAGAAATAAGATAAAACAGTCAAGCCTCCAAAGGAGAGGAAAACTTTCACCAAGTAGTTTCGCATTCATTGCTCTAAGGTTTTTTTTTTCGAAAAAAGAATACAAAAAAAATTGGTCTCAAAATTGAGAAAAATGAGATGAGGATGTGATTGCTTACTCCATCATACTTCTTCTTTCTCTTCTCAATTTTTCAATATGGTAAATTATTTTTGTGTCTGAAAGACCAACATTGTTAATGAAATGTGCTTTACAATGTGATAGAGTAGACATCCTGTTCAGGTGCGATATGAACAAGAACCTATTCCTACTGCTGTGTAATGAGCTTGACTTGGCCTATAGTACTGCTTTAGACAGTAGGGATTTAGTTCTCTCGAAGGTAAGAAAAGACTAACAGTGTTAGAAAATCTGTTAGTTCCTTATTCACCTTTATTCTTTTATTTTAAACTCCATACGAATTTTGATTTGCTATTGCAGCGTCCTTTGGCGTACAGAATTATCGAAGACGGCATTATGTGTGACCGGCTATCCTCAGATTTAGACCTGCGCATGGAGATCTACCGCTGTTTGCGATTGAATGGAACCCCTAATGACGTATGTTTACGCTTTCATATATTTTTTTGCAATTTCATGGAATGGACAATGCGAAAGGTAGACAGTTGTATTGGTTAGAATCTGGGTCCTCACTGCAATTCAGCCTTTTCTTTGGTTCACTACAGCAATTTGTACCGAAAGGTGTCTGTGTAGCTGTCGGTCCATGTGTGACCCTTGGTATTACCAACCGCAGATGAGATACCAACCGCAGATGAGATAAGAGAACAGAAATATCTCTTAGGCTCTAGTTGAAAAATGGATTGAATCAGAAAAAGTTGCAATTAGTAAATGGGAACAGTTTAAATTAGAGTGCGTCTAGCTACAAGAGTTCGAAGGGTCTATGTGGTTTTACGAGTCACCGGATGTCATTCACTGCCTACCCAGTCCCTCTGAACAAAGACATGGCTGCAGTGATGATGACGTGTTTGTAAAATTTTTCATGTGATCAAAGCAGTCTCGTCAGATAGTTATTCTTCTACATTATGTAATTCTTCGTTTTTGATTTCAGTTCTTCAATTTTATGCGCGATTTCGCAGTCGAAGACTTAAGAAGTGGCACAAATGAACGCGATACGGCTTGTGTGAGTTACCCACTCTTGTCTTTCCTTTCGTTTATAGCTTCTTTTCCTAGTGCGATAATGCGAAATTCAGATTCAAAAGGTGTGTACAAAAGAACTATTTATTTCGTAAATCAGTGGGTTTAATTTGGCGTTTGGCGTTGACGTTTTTGCCAACCCAATAAATCCAGAATTTGTTTTGAATTCTTGGGCAATTATAGACACGATATAAATTTCTTAAGTCTACATTACTATTTCTCTTGCATTAATTCATGATTAGCTAACGATAATCGAAGCCACACTGAAAATTGTATAGAGACAATGCTGAGGCTAATTTATGAACTTCTGTGAGTACGGTTTGTGACAAGTTCCGTGTCCAGTAGTCTCTGAAGGATGAGAAGGGTTGACATCCGCTTCATTGTTTCCATGAGCCATACTAACAGAAATCATTCTGGATTTGTTTTTAATCCAAAACTGTTTTCGTTTTCTACTACTCTATCAGCACAAATTCTTCAATTTCAGATCCTCGATGTGTTGTACACTTGTCGAGAATTTCTTGCTGCGAAAGGTCCTGAGATTGCCTCTCTTGTTCGACGTCGAATTGCTGAAGAATGGCGAATGTAAATCTTTTTGATGTTTAATCGTTTTGTGTTTCCGCGCAGAGCAGAGTGTCGGAAATCATAGTGCTTGAAATCGCTTTAGTCGAAAGCTTTACCCAATCTAGGCCCGAAACCATTGCACTGGCTTATCGTCTTCTTGCTTTCATTTCTGGAGAAGGACAGCCGTCATGCAAGGAACTGGAGTGGATTGAGTCGTGTGTCAACATTGAGGAGGAACTACCGAAGCAAATTGCCCTCGAAGTAGGCGCGCATCATCTCAAAAAGGGTAAGCTGTGTTGTTTTTTGAAAGCATGCAACCATTCCTTTGTGCCTCATGTGGAGTCCAATGATGATGATAGAGATAGTGAATTCACTGAATGGACGGTAGTTTTAGTGCTCGATATTTCTGTAGTCAATGGACATACCAACGAAGTTCATGGCGATAACTGCTAGGTTCTCAACTTTTTTGTGTGCTTTCTTTCAAATTTAGCATGAAATTGGGTAGACAAGTATTTGATATTCTCTGGAAACTTTAGCTCGTGAATTTGCCAGGATTATCTTTTGGAACAGCAGAGGTGGTATGAAGGTAACCACTTCTGTCAATAGGGCTCGTAATATAATTAGTTACAAGGGAACTCGGACCAATATCGCCATCCTTGTTAATAATAAAATTGGATTAAGTTCGGAAGGAGTGGACATTAGAGGCAAACCCTTGTTTGCCAGCCTACCGAATTATTGTTCTAGATTAGACGAGAAATTCGATAGTGAAGGAAATTGAGACTTGTAGAACACTCGTGCTTTGGATCTGAGTATAGTAACAATAATCGTTCGTATTTGCAGGGGACTGTAATCGACTTGTACCTGCTTTGGCGGCCTTTCTTCAGGATGACTATCTCCATATTCGGGAAAAGGTTAGTTTTGAATTTTATGAGGTTTGCCTCTGATTTCAATCAAAAATTCTGCAGATTCATAGCGATGAGCAGTTTTAATCGATAAACTATTCTTGAAAGCTCCTCTACAATTAAAGACTCATCTTTACAATCTATATCCTTTTTTATTCTTTGATGTTTTGAAACAGGTTGAATTCCCTCGCATACCTTCTGTTCAAGAAAACTTGAGTTCTTCTCAGTAACCACCATTCTTCGCAATCGAGTTCTTAGCTCGTATATTCCCATTTCAGGCTTCGTCGATCCTCTCGAGACACATATTGAAGAAGGGCCTACTGCTTAATCCTTATGTCTGTTATCGCTTGATTATCGACAAAATTCCCGATTTTGGAGCGGAAGTTACGAAACAAATACAAAATGTGAGCCATTTAAACCGAGGACTTTACGGATATCTTCATCCTTCTACACGAAAATTTATCTAAATTTATTGTCCTCATTTTTACGCTACTTGTTTTGTTTATCTCAATGGTCTTTTCGCTAGTTTCCTCACATACATGTCTAGGATCAGGTCTTAAAAGGGGCAATAACTATCAAACGATGTCGTCAGGGCAGTATCGGGTCCACTAGAAGTCAATCGAACTACTTGATTTCCCGTTTGTCCTCAAAATGCTCTCACGGGTGTCAGCCGAAGTCTCCAGTCATTCATGCGACGCGCCATTGCATTCTGATGAATCCTCTGTTGAAGAGATCTTCTTTGCCCGTGAAAAGTCTTACCGTCGTGCTGAAAAGCCCCTAAAATCTCATCCTTGTTAAACTGGATTTTGTTACCCTGCACATGGTTGTACCTCCACTGCGCGCCCAGAGGTTAATATGTCCGTTAGATAGCTGGCGCGTTACCAAAGGATGGGTTTGGGGTAATGCTCGCTTTTCCTTCTACACTGATGTTAAAGACAACATTCTCCAATGTAGAAGGGCAGCGTTCTTCCTGCAAAGTAAATATAAAGACCTGAAGCATTCATAAGCGAGCCTTGTGATCGAACTGTAGAGCGCTTTTGTGATTAATCTGTCATTGCCATTATGTGTAGGTTGTCAACCAAAGTGCGATGCTGGCGCCTTTGTCTTACTCAGTAACACAATCTTGGGGCTTTTCCATATGGGGAAGGACTGGTGCTTTAGCCACCATTGCGTGAAACGTCGCGCAAGAATTCAATAAGAAAGATGGTTAGAGTTTGTTAAGCATTCCTGTCTGACTCTCTCGAGAATAGGCCCATTGCGCTTTCAACATAGTATTATAGAAGGCGAGCTAGACTCAGGTTTGCACGTTTGCATCTGATGCTGAAGGGATCTGACCTATAGGATCACCGTTTTGCTTCTCGAGGTCTCCGTACGATTCATTGTTTATTGCTTGTGAGTTGTGTTTCAGATAGCGGTGTTTTGCTTACAGTCGCACTGCTTAATGAGATTCGAGTGTGTTTTCTGTCATAGAGCGGCAGAGCGGCGGAAATCATAATCCAGTTCTTCCTTGAACACGGTCACAGCATTCTTCATGTATGATTTTCACAGTAAAGTTATGAAAACGAGTGTCCCACTGGAAACCCCCAAATTGATTCCAACGAGTACAATTCATTAATGTGAGAATACCTGCATCAAGGCTTGTCAAAGAGTTCTTTCCGAAATCCTGATTCCTCTAGTAGCATCACAAGGATATCCACTCTCGAATTTCGATGTGGAGTAAGACCTATCACTTGTCACTACTAGCTTTTACTTCCTTTCCTTTTTCCACTTTCCTTTCTTTATCGAATCCTTTTCTTCTCGAAAATTTGAACTCATACGATAATCCTTATTCACTTTATTTTGAAGCTTCATACTTTATGTGTTAGTTTAATTATTAAAAATAAAACCGCTATGATTCAGGTGACTGATGACTCCGCTGAGGTTCTTTTCGATGCCTGCTCAACTAACCCATATGCCGAGTCACGCGTTTTTGGCAAGTTTGATGATGTGAAATCAATGGTTGTCGAAATGACCGGCTCTCATTAAGTTTTTTTCCTACAGACGGTAGACATAAGCATTGGATTAATGCAGTTACCTCTTATGTTAATTGTTCGTTGCCCTTTTTTACCAATGAGGATATAATTAGTAGTCCTGCTGTTGTTGTAACGGGAACTCGATCCATCTTGGGAACGAATGTTGTTACTCTTATTTTGTTTTCATTGTTTTTGTTGCTTTTACTCCTATTTACGTCTTCCTGCACTCTCGCTAACTTCTGATTCTTTCGCTATAATATATCATCGAATTCACGTTTAAAAAAATTTATCCAGTGAAGTGAATTTTTTGGAAAGACAATTAGGTCGAAATGTTTGAAGAATTGATTTCGCGTTGATTTGAGGAACACAATGGAGGCCTGCCTGATCAAATGGGTAAGCCAAATTTAATACTACAACGGGACGCAATACTCAAGGGAAGCCGCATTGACAGAAGCCTTCTCAATTGTGATAAACACGGTCTTCATCACATCTTTCATCACAGTTCGTTGATGATATAGATCGCGCCTTTTTCACTGGAAGCCCCTGTCCCATTGACGTGGTTGATGTGCCGAATCCCTACACGATGTCGCACCATCATCTACTCCGCGCCAGCGTTCTTTTTTCATTCCTTCGTTTTTCACTACAACGTTCAAGAAACAAAGCTCTAAGACCTTGGTGGATAGATTGCTGACAACATCGACGCGTGATTTAACCGGCCTGTTAATCGCCTTCACGATGGTGCCGGAAGGAAGAGATTGCAGCAGCAAGGGGAGTAGATTTTCTACAGCCCCACGTGATTCCACGCTAGGTCGGCAAGGTGGAGTCTCTCGGTGAGACTGTTCACCGAAAGACTCTACCTTGCCGACCTAGCGTGGAATCACGTGGGGCTGTAGAAAATTACCAGCTTGCGTCCAAATTTGCAAAAATATTATCGAGGTTATCGAGTCTGATAAGGGCATCCGCATCCTCATCTCCCGCTTGAGAGCAAGTAACTTTACTGCTGTGTATGTAGTGTAGTGCTTTTCAAGCTGTGACGTGGGCTGGATACTATCCGACCCATTGATCTACTTTACTACAAATTTTAGCCCCAATGATAAGCGCCAGGGTCGTTTGAATCACCACGAATTTCGCCCCGCGCAATTTGCCGCGCGCACCCTCGGACGCCCCCNGGGGGGGTAGGCAGACGTCTGCGGTCGCCCAAGCCCCTTCGAAGGGCTGAAAACACCTCGGCAAGTCGGCACGCCGGCGGACTATGAAAGCAGCCGATCCACCAACAACGGCCGGAGAGTATCCAGCCCACGCACAGCTTGAAAACCTTTACAACATACACAGCAGTAAAGTTACTTGCTCTCATAATAAGAGGGTCCTCAAGGAAGACGGAACATGCCTGCGTCCTGAGATGCGGCCGGCAAACTGCGCGGCGAAATTCGTGGCGATTTGTTGACTTTAGCGCCTATCATTGGATCACAAATTCATAATAAAGAAGTTGATAGGGTCAGCTGATCCTACTGATGTACTCTACTCCACATTTTGGCCCAACGATAGGCGCTGCAGTAGTTCAAATAGCCACGAATCTCGCCGCGCACTTTGTCGCGCGCATTACCGGACGCACTTATATGCCCATATATATGTCCTCAACACGCAGCTCTTGGTAAAACCGCTCACTCATAGCGAGCTAACCAATTTCTTTAGAAAATGAGAGTTTGCCTTACGGAACAAGGGCTATAATTTCCACCTGAGCTCAAGTGACGCCTTCATCAGAAGAGTATCTCAAAGATCTGATGATGAACAAGCAAGGAAAATCAAGCTCGTCGTGGTCGGGCATCTTAGTTGAGATGACCTCTTTACACGCGATTTTCAAGGCTAGAGTAGAAAGGTTCCTCGAGAAACACGAAAGTTCACAATATGGGTGTTTATGTGTTAGTGACTATGAATATAAATCTGTACGATGGTCCGAAAAGCACGAACAAATTTTCGCGATTATAAGGATGCGGCATAGTTGCTGAATTTAGTGTTCAGAAAAGTATCGTTCGATCCAAAAATGTTGCGGCGGAGCGCCTTTTACTAGAAGTTAGAGAAAGAGGAAAGTTCGGCTAGTTAACGGGGCGGTGCGACCATTTTAGAATATCGGAGAATTTTGAGTAATTAGGACGACAGAC